TTTTTTTTTTTTGTTGTTGTTTTGCTATTTGACGATAAAACAGATTTGTTATTTAGGTAAACGTCACGGTGAATTATTAATTCAACCATTGGCACCGGTATATGCAATAATATATGAGGACTCATTGGGACAACTGACTGATCAAATTGCTCAAGAAGTAACACATTTTTTGTTGTTGTTGTTGTTGTTGTTTTAATCGAAAAAAATTTATTGTTTTTGTATGACCAACTCAATTTTTTTTTTTTTTTTACAGATTTGTGTCAATTATGGATCAACATTACAATTTTTTATTCAAAAAAATTTGGAAAGAAGTTATCGGTCAAAAAAATTTTATGAACGAGCCGATATTCCAGCAGTTGGAGTACTGAGTGGATGCAGTTAGTATATGGTTGTTTTTCTTGAACAGAACAAAAACAAAAAAAAAATTTCACACCTTTTACTGTCTAAAAATTTTTAAAATATAGATGTATTTCTATGATCTATTATAAGATATAATAAAAGAATTTCCAAGAGATATGGGACTTAAAACAGTAAATGAACAGTTTCAGTTTTTATTACCCGTAACAACAGCTTTTTTTCTTTTCTTTTGAATTCTTTTAATTAAAAGTATATTAAAACTATTCTTTTTTTTAGCAAATTTAAAATTATTTGCACTTCGAGAACGTATCTCGTACGGTACTGCGTTACTGTTGGCATTGATAGCCAAATCTCAGAATACTACGTTGTGTTTAAGACGAAATGCTATTTTGAAAAGAGTAAGTTTCCTGTTTTCAATTCTAAAAAGTTATTGTTTCGTAACAGCAATAAAACATTTTACCACCTTTGTACATCAACTTTGTTTTTTTTTTTTCTGGTTTTGTTTTGCTCTGTTCTGTTTTCTTTCTGTTTGTTATTTGCAGATGAATTGGTCTGAATCGTTGGTGAACAGTAAAGTCGGCGAAAAAATTGTTGACTATAATTGGCTACGAATACAGTGTAAAAATTACGGTGATTTGGAAAATACAATGTCTACACTAACAAATTCAACTGCCACTGTCGTTAACGATAACAGATATTTATTTTTGTTTCGATAAAGAGAAAAAAAAATTTTTTTTTCTTTATTTTTTGCTAACAAAGATGAATGAATTTATTAGATGGAGAAACGAAAAAAAAA